CTTCTGGGACACTTGTTTCTGGTCACTAAATCTCTGCTTTTTTCTAAAAATCCAAAGATTTCCCACTCCTTGTTGAAGCATGAAAGCAGATTTTTTTCAGCCTAGTCTTCTCCCTTCCCTTTATGAAGTTGAGTTTGTGCATCCTAATTCAAGATAATTTCTGTGGTATGGAACTTTACAGAGCACTGGTAGTCTGGCAGAAGTTAGCCTAGTGACTGATTGGCAGGTACCTAGTTACCAAGGAGAAACGAACTCAGAAAATCATGATGTAACAGTATTGGCGCCTGCACTAGATCCCCCAAGCTGGGTTTCAGATCAGTGGTCTAGAATCCACAAGACCGTATGTGAGCTGTTGGCAATCTTACTGCTCGCTCCCTCATTCCTCCTCTTAACATGATTTTTTAGGAATTGCTAGAAGGGTGGAAAATCATTACCTTCCCCTCCTCTAATAATGTGAGCCCATGCCCCTAACTTCTCCAAGGCAGATGAGGCCCTGGGGCGACTCTCACCCTTTTGAGGACCCAAGTGTAAAAACATTAGTCCCAACATCCTGTCACTTAAATAAGAAGATATTCATTCCTTATAAATAAATGCTGGTGGTTAGAGTATAAATGCTGTGTATAGAAATGAGGACAAACTATAACTATAGGTCAATGGACTCTTGTGATCTCTTAAGCATGTCTGCCTTTTGTCAATGCAGTGCAGTGCTTGTTGGGGAGGGCGGTGTCTCACAATTAGCTCTGGAGTTCAACTACAAGTGTTCTAAGAAAGGGTTAGTTTATATGTCAGTCCTAGGCCTTGACACATTCATGTGAGTCAGTTTTATAACTTTCTGTTCCTGGATGCATCCCTCGCAACTGTTAGTCCAGGCAGGCATGTGCTAAAATTACTTCTCTAAATGTTATCAAGCAAAGATGTGTTGGTTAGACTTTGCCCAATAAAAAATGTCTAGGAGTGGGTCTAAAACCGGTGTTGGCTGATTTTCTGTTCTTAGGAAATGGAGAGCTAGGAATAGAAGGATCCGTGTTAGTAGTTCTCAAACTTTAGTGTGTAAAAGACTCACCCAGAGAGCTAGGTTAAAGGGCAGATTAATGGACCCCAGATTCTTCTGGTGTAGTCAGTCTGGACTGAGATTTAATAAAACAAGCATGGCATGATAATAATGCAGGTGGTCTACAGTCTAACTCTGAGACACATTGTATTATTAAATCCTGTCCTCTGTCATTTGCTGAGATGCTCTTTACTTCTTTAGACTGAAAATCACAGCCACTCTTGTGGTTACATGGAACAACTTACTGTGATTAAAAAAAAAAAAAAAAAAAAGGATGAACTTTATCTTCTAGGCTTTGAAAACGGTAAATGCACAGTCTTTTGTGTGTGCCTTCAAGACACTTGAAAGTCACTTTGTGGCTACCACACAGAGATAGAACAAACTTAGGGATGCCTCTCCCCCTGTTTCATCTCAGAACGCCTCTCTCAGGACTCTTTGTTTCACCCAGGCACCTCAAGGTTTTGGTGAAATAAAGCAACTCTTTTTTTCTCAAAAACATTGTTAACCCTGGTCCAAAGGTTTAAAAGCTAGGATATATCGTTTTTTTATACCTGGATAGCTAAACTTTCTAAAATCTCTTCCCTCGTCTTTGGGAACCCAAATAGCTCATGCACAAAAGCCTGTGGATTTCCTTCCATGAGAACTGAAATACTATTCCCTTTATGCTAATGTTAATTTTCAGGCAGTGAACTTGGTTAACTATGAGAAAATACAAACTTTAGATGGAATGCATTATTTATAGTGAATGCAGAGCATCATTATTATCAATTCTTGTTACAAAATACACAGAAAAAATATCTTTTTGTTATTTAAATATGGCATGGCTACATTGAGAAATAGTACAGATGTTAATCCACAGCCTCTCAGCTGCATCCTGAGTAATCATTATTATGTTTTATTCTTATTTGGAATTACTAGTAATAGACTCTATATTTCTGTATGAAATTCAAATCAGGGAACACCAATGAATTGAGATGATTGATATTATATATACACACAAATAATTTTAGAATTGGGGACAACAATGGAAATATTTCTTTCTTAGAGAAAATCCACCCAACTTGCTGCTTTATTAGTGATCTTGATGAATAACATTTTTCATTTACCTTGGTGTGCCAAAAAATCACTTAATTCTTTACCATTGAAATGAGCTAACATTTGACTAGTACCTAAATTTGTTTTGAAAATATTTGTGTAATTGTTAAAAATCTGAAATGTAAATACCTGGATTTTAAACACAAATATTTTTTAAAGTGCATGTTTGTGTCTTTTTTTTTTTTTTTTTTTTTTTTTGAGACAGAGTCTTGCACTGTCTCCTGGGCTGGAGTGCAGTGGTGCAATCTCAGCTCACTGGAACCTCCACCTCGCAGGTTCAAGAGATTCTCCTGCCTCAGCCTCCCGAGTAGCTGGGATTACAAGCGCATGCCACCATGTCTGGCTAATTGTTTTGTATTTTTAGTAGAGATGGGGTTTCCCTATGTTGGCCAGGCTGGTCTCGAACACCTGACCTCATGATCCACCATAGTGCTGGGATTACAGATGTGAGCCACCGCACCTGGCCATGTCCGTGTACTTTTATTCCATGATTTTATTTTGTGTGCTTTCATAAATCTTCTTTATTTTTGGTTGTTTAAACTTCTCATTGATGTGGTATTTTATACATGGAGTAAGGAGAGACAGTGGTAGTGGTAATATAATTCATGACATCTTTGAATGCAAATGAAATGTATGGATACATGTGTGTTTATGGGAAAATATTCCTGGCTGTTTTCCCTTTATTTGTTTTTGTGTTGTTTTGTTTTGGTTTGAGATGGCGTCTTGGTCTGTCATCCAGGCTGGAGTGTGGTGGCAGTGATCATGGCCCACTGCAGCCTTGATCCCTCAAGTTCAAGCCATCCTCCCACCTTAGCCTCCTGAGTAGCTGGGACTGCAGGTACATGCCACCATCCCCAGCTAATTTTTTAATTTTTGGTAGAGATAGGGTCTCCATGTGTTGCTCAGGTTTGTCTTGAACCCCTGGGCTCATGCAATCCTCCACACCTCACCTCCCAGAGTACTGGGATTACAGGCTTGAGCCACCATGGCCAGCCTGTTTTCCCATTTTTAACTGATACAGAATCACTGGCCTAGTCTAATCGTATTTATTTATAGATGAAACATTTGAGGCATGTAGAGACTAGGTGATTTTTCTGAGGTCCTGGAGTTGCTACTTGACCCAAGGCATTGAAACTCAGTCCATGGTCTTTCTGAATCCCTACCCATCTCTTTCTCACAACAAGGTCATGGGCCGTCGTCCTCAGTCCCCTATTATAAGATAGAACTCCGTTTGGTTATTTTGTCTTCTTAACTTTTCTTCTATTTCAACCTTAGCATGAAGTGTTTTTTTTTGTTGTTTTTTTTTTCCATCTGAGTTAAATGTTAAATGCCTTAGAAATTACCTTGCCAGGCTTTACCTAGATCCCCAAACCAACTTTATTCTTTTTTTCTCAGTACCGATGCACCTGAATGAATTCAGTCTCATCCTATCACCTATCAACAAAAGACTGGTTATGAAGTTTTTCCAGGATAGCAGTTGCAGTTCTTGCCCTTCAGAATAATCACATGTAAGGGGACTGCCAGCTGCAGGGTGATATTTAATGTAACTTTTACATCGTAACCTCTGGTGATTCTATCTTAAAACTCATCAGGCAATGCCTAAGTAAGCTAATTGAATACATTAAAAATTTAAAAAAAATACTTTGAAATAAAACAGATTCTTATTGATCACCGTGTATGTATATATACCACTGTACTTGATATAAAAATAGATAAGATACAGTCATGCTCTCAAGGAGCTTATAATCCAAACAAGGAAAAAGAAAGTGTACTCTATTAAATACATTTAGTATAAAAAGGTAAGTGTCTTGGGAAATACAGTTTTAAAATTATATGGTTAAAGAAAAAGGTTGAGGGTCTAGAAGAATCTTCTAGGAAAAAGAATTTGAACTTGATTTTGAAAAATGAAAATCACTTTTATGAGCATAAGTGGCGAGATGCATTTTGAACAATATTTATTGTGCGCATAGTCTAGAAGCATATGTACTCTACACTGCCACTTAAATATGGTTTGTGGATCATTCCAGTCTTTGAACTTTGTTACTGCTCCATGACAAAATAAGTCTCAAGCATCCAGTTTCTCTTACTGAGAGAAAGCACTTAGAAATGCATGGCTGTTTAACATGGCTTCACCATCCAAGCACATAATCAGTGGACTCAAGTCATTGCACCTGTTATAGACCAGTTTGGGTGTCGCTGAGTCACGTGTGGTACCAGCTATGTGATATTTATCCTAGGTAGACCATATATGGCTTCATAAGAGATTGGGAAAACAAAGAACCTAGTCCTTCACTGCAGATAATTTGAGAATAAAGACTGTAGGTTGTTCTTTATTTGCCTACATAGTCATTTTGAAAAATTGTTGTGTATATTAGCAATACAGAGCTGTTACTCGTTATTGACTTATTTACACTATCGCCATTGCTTCTTTCTAATGTTATCATCTCATTACAACACAGAAAAAATTTTAACTTTATGACACTAGAGAGCCATCCACAATGAGAGCAGCACAAAAGCAATACAGGAAGCACATACAGTAAAGGGGTAGGCTAAAGACAAACAGAACAATACGTAGAGCAGAGAAAGGGAGACGTCAAGCAGCCTGTGCCTGGAAGTTGTTAGTAAAATTAGTGACCAATGTGAAATAAGAGAGCTCACATTTTCACTTCATCATAATCCGCAGAAGATTAACCTCAATGGGAAATTTTCTTCCAGAAACTGAAACACAACCTAACCTGTTATGCCTTACTATTTTTTGTTAATTTCTTTCTATTATTTTCTTTATGTTGTTGTTTCCTGTTGTTCCTATTTGGAAGGGATTCTTCATTTTGGACATTTTCTCTTCTCATTTCAGATGATTCCACACTGCATGGCCCGATTTTTATTCAAGAACCAAGTCCTGTAATGTTCCCTTTGGATTCTGAGGAGAAAAAAGTGAAGCTCAATTGTGAAGTTAAAGGAAATCCAAAACCTCATATCAGGTTTGTTGATTTAAAAGAATGTGTTTCTATGCATATAGTTTCTGTTATTAAAATCAAGAAATACTTACACAATGCTGGTTACATAAAGAGATTTTATTTATTTATTTATTTATTTGTTTATTTATTTATTTATTTTTGAGACTGAGTTTTGCTCGTTCCCCAGGCTGGAGTGCAATAATGCGATCTCAGCTCACTGCAAACTCCACCTCCCAGGTTCAAGCGATTCTCCTACCTCAGCCTCCCGAGTAGCTGGGATTACAGGCATGTGCCACTATGCCTGGCTAATTTTGTATGTTTAGTAAAGATGGGATTTCTCTATGTTGGTCAGGTTGGTCTCAAACTCCCGACCTCAGGTGATCCACCTGCCTCAGCCTCCCAAAGTGCTGGGATTACAGGCATGAACCACCATGCCTGGCCCAAGAGTTAGTTAGTTAGTTAGTTATTTCAAGACGGAGTCTCGCTCTGTCAGTCACCCAGGCTGGAGTGCAGTGTGCGACCACTGCTCACTGCAACCTCCGCCTCCCGGGTTCATGTGATTCTTCTGCCTCAGCCTCCTGAGTAGCTGGGATTACAGGTGTGCACCACCATGCCCAGCTAATTTTTGTATTTTTAGCAGAGACAGGATTTCACCATGTTGGCCAGGCTGGTCTTGAATTCCTGACCTCAAGGGATCCACCCGCCTCAGCCTCCCAAAGTGCTGGGATTACAGGCGTGAGCCACCGTGCCCAGCCCATTAAAAGCTTTTAGATGGGCATTGTAGGATATCCTGAAAGTCTAAGGTGATGATAGTTTCATGAAAAGCTAAGTACCCAACCTCTGTTTTTTGTGGTACTGGGAATTAAATATCCTGATTGACTTTCTCTTTGAAAACATTAACAATTCCTAACCACATATATTTAACTGAAAAAACACATTTTAAACCATATCAGTAAATTGGCAGGAAAGTAAGAAATGTCAGAAGTCCAAAAGTAAGTGGGTTTGGAACCCAAAGAAGCTGAACAGTAAAGGCAGTTTTCATGTTAATAAACTACAAGTATGAATTGAGCTTTGGTTTTCATGGCTTCAGAGGAACAGAGGTCACAAGACAAAGCCTAGACAACCCACAGGAGAATCCAACATGAGAACATCTCCCAGAATAAACCTGGGATACAAGGACTACATCTTTAGAGTAAATGTGAACAAGAAATAAGCTTGACTTCCAAAGAGACTGTGAAGCACAGGTAATTGTGTATTTCGAACATTAAACCCTAGTGGTTGTAGTAGCAGATGAGATACAACTGAAAAGAGAATTTGTAAACTGCAAGATAGGTCTGAAGAAATCCTCCAGAGGCAGCAGAAAGAGACAAAGGGAAGCAAAATACTTTAAAAAGAAAGAGAGAAAAAATGTCTAATCAGGATTCCAGAAGAAACAAGAAAGACTGAGGCAGAAGCAGTATTTAAAGAGAAGGCTAAGAATTTTCCAAACTAATTAAAACTTTCAAGCTATAGATACAGGAAGCCCAATGCACTTCAAGCAGTACAAATAAAAATGAAGCCACATCTAAAATAGTGAAGTAGTGAACACCAAGTCAAACAGATGATCATAAAAGTAGCCAAAGTTGTAATACAGATAACATTCAAAGAGATCACAAACTGGCAGCTGACTTCTCAATAGCAACAAAAAAGCAGAAGACAGAAGATAGAATCTTCAGTATACTGAGAGAAACTGTCAAATGTTTAGATAGCCTAAATACTTTTTTAAAATGAAAACAAACTAACTGCATTTTTAGGCAGCCATCAACCAAAGTCTGACTCCAGTAGACCCTCACTAAAGGAAATTCTAAAAGACATACTTGAGGCAGAATAAAAATGATTCCAGATAGAAGAGCTGAGCTACAAGAATAAATAAGTAAAGCAAATGGTAAATGTTAGTAATTCCACAAAAAAATTATTGCACAGAACAATAAAAAATAATAAAAATAATACTGTCTTGTGAAGATAAAAAGAAGAAAAGTAAAAATTCATGACAACATTAGAAACAAATTTTTAAAAGATGTACTAGACAGCAGATAATCTATATGGTTAAAGAAATGAAACTGGGGCCAGCCACATTGGCTCACGCCTGTAATCCCAGCACTTTGGGAGGCCAATGTGGGTGGATCACAAGGTCAGGAGATCGAGACCATCCTAGCTAACACGGTGAAACGCCGTCTCTACTAAAAAAATACAAAAAAACTAGCCGGGCGTGGTGGTGTGCACCTGTAGCCACTCAGGAGGATGAGGCAGGAGAATGGCGTGAACCCGGGAGGCAGAGCTTGCAGTGAGCCGAGATCGCGCCACTGCATTCCAGCCTGGGCAACAGAGCGAAACTCTATCTCAAAAAATAAATAAATAAATAAATGAAATTGGAACCCTACTGCACTGCATACACAAAAATCAATTCCAGTGTATAGAAGACCTAAGTGGAAAATTTGCAATACTTTTAAAAGCAAATAGTTATACATATTTATGACTTTGGGGAAGGAAGAGATTTTCTAAATATGACAGAAGCAGTGCAACTTGTAAAAGAAAATACTTAGCTGTATTAATATTGAAAACTGATGTTCAATAGAATAGACTGAAATAAGCAAAATTACAAGCTGTAAACTTGAAGATTTTTAAGTATATTTGTTATGGGTAAGGGATTCATATCCCAGACTATTTAAAGAATTTCCACAAACAGAATGTAAAAAACAACCCAGTGGAAACATTAGCAAAACACTTGAACAAGTACTTGTAAGAAAATGAAAACCAAAAATTCGGTAAACATAAAAGGATTGTCAATATCATTAGTGAACAGAAATATATAATTAAACCTACAACAACATACTCTTTCAAAACTATCAGATTGACAAATATAGAAAACTGACAATCTGTTGGTGAAGGTGTAGAGCAAACAGAACCCTTGATTGAACACTGCTGGTAGCAATGTAAATTGGTAAAAGCCACTGTAAAAAAAGAAAAAAAAAGCACTCCCTAGTAAATCTAAAGATGCACATTATCCATAATCTATGATCCAGTATACATAATTATGTTCATAGTATATTCACAAATACATATAACCTGGTATGTTCATACAAGGTAACCTCATGCAGTAGTAAAAATGAATGAATGGCAGCTGCGACAACATGGGTAGATCTCAAGAACATAATTTTGAGTAAACCAGTTCACGGCCAAATACATAGTATGTAATTTCACATTCACAATATTTGAAAGTGGTTGGGATGGAGTGGTTTTTCAAGGTATAAAGGAAGCAAAACTTTACCTCTCTTCTCTTAGGATTTTTCAGCTGAGCCTGAGAATTAAATTTACATAAAGCAAATCAAAAGGAGAAAAACATTTTTTTAAATGCAAGTTTTACATGGCAAGGAAGCCTTCATAAGACAATGAAAACCCAGAGACACAGTTACTGTTGCACATTTATATACTGAATTGGACAAAGAGTAGTAAATTGTGAAAAAGTAAGTTATATGGGGAGCTAGAAGAAAATATTTTAACAAGGTCTGGACAGAGTTTTCTCTGTCTCAACTTCCTGTCCTTGATGAAAAGAATGTTACTTTCCTTCTAATATAGAAAGGACATCTCTGGCATGGGGATTTCATCCCTTGCTCTTTAGAAGAAGAATGAAGGTGAAAGTGGTCCTCTTGTACCTGCTGTTTTCCGAGTACCTTTAACTCAAAATAGTCAATATAGGCTGGGCACAGTGGCTCACGCCTGTAATCCCAGCCCTTTGGGAGGCTGAGGCATTACGATGGCTTGAGGCCAGGAGTTTGAGAACAACCTGGGCAACATAGCAAGACCCCCATCTCTACAAAAATAATTTAAAAACTAGTCGGCCATGGGGGTGCATACCTGTAGTACTAGCTACTCAGGAGGCTGAGGTGGGAAGATTGCTTGAGTCTAGGAGTTCTAGGCTGCAGTGAGCTATGATTGCACCACTACATTCCATCATGGGTGACAGAGGAAGACCCAGTCTCTAAATAAATAAATAAATAAATAAGTGTCAATATGCCAGAGCAGCATATTTTTGAGTGGCATGCTCTGAACTCCTTCAAAGGATAATAACATACATGATAAAATTATAAGGAATATCACAGGAATGAAAAAGCCAAAATTAAAGATTATAAGTAACCATTAAGAAAGAGTGGTTATAATCAAAGTAGATACAGCAGACTTCTAAAGTGATAATATCCCTTTTAAACACAGATCTTCATTGGCTCATGATTTTTTATAACTTACATACATCTTATAAATATTATTATGCCTCTATTCAAATTTGATAATTAAAAACTATAATAACTAATATCTAATGTTATATAAAAACAGAAATATATATGTCATAGTTTAGGAGAGATTGGAGTCATCAGGTTGGGTTCTCAGAAGAAATGAGATTTGAACTGAGATAAGTAATTTTCAAATAGGCAGAAGACATTCTGTTCAAGTTAAAGGATGGCAGTATTAGTATAGTGGATATTATTTTAGAATTTATGTGCTCATTTATCCATTTGTTCATTTGTCAAACATATTCAATATTTGTCCTTCAAACCTCACCAGTGTTTTTCAAACTGAATTCCAGGGCACATGGAATTGGCTTAAAGATTACCAGAGAAAGAAAATAACAGAATTTTCATCCAAGATTCAGCCTTCGCAGGTCTACTTTGAACTGGGCCATATATTAGGATTCTGAAAAATATGTCATCTAGACAAAATATTTAAACCACTCTATTAAGCAGCTGCAATGCACCAGGCACCATGCTAGGTTTGAGTATTCAAAGATTAATCAACTCTACAACATGTTTACTAGTACTATTAATTTGAGGACTGCCTAGATGTGGATGTAGTTGGAGTAGAATGAGGTAAATACAAGTAAAGGATGACCACGTTCTAGGTACTCTGGAGGAAAGAAAGTCTAATTCAGGATGGTGAGGGTAGATATCACTGAAGGCTTCACAGAAAAGGAGATATTTTAATATATCTGGAGGGTGAATGGTTCTTTCATCACATGGATAAGGAAAGGAAGTGCATTCCAGAAAATAAGAAAACAACTCTCTAACAGACCATATAATTAGAGTGAACATGTAATTTATCATCTAAGGGCACTTTTTAAAGCAAAAGGCCGCTGTTCATAATTATTCTAGGACAGCAGGTGTAAACCCAGCACTTGTCTTGGGCAAGCCAGAATAAATAGTTATTCTCCCTAGAATATATTAAACCCAAGGCTAAATCAAAGATTTTTAAATACTTTATGTAATAAAGAATGCAGGAAGCAAAGGCTCTTAGATACATAAACGATGAGTTAACTGGTTCCTGTTTTCCTTACATAGCCGAGTGTAAGTTCAGATGTTAGCCATAAATGAAAACAAATTTTGAAGCCGAATTCGGCAAGTTGCTGCTTTGTTTTTCCCCAAACTGTGACCTTTAATTAACATTGCTTTTGTAACATTGTGTTTCTAGATATAGGAGCTTGCCTTGTTATTTAAAACAAGCAGTGAAACAGAAACCTATTATGTTTCTAGATTGCCAGGAAACACTGAGAACAAAACTTTTTAATCAAATATACTAGCAATTTATTGCAGTGTACTTCTTGCCTTTATACCTTTGGCAGTTTCTCTGTAACATGATAGCAGACTGGTACCTGGGAGCTAAAAAGTTCCTCTTGTTGAAAGAAAGAGAAAGAGAAAGAATAGAGAGATCAGGCATTTTCAGACACTTTCTGCCTGAACTTTTTCAGTCTTCAGGCTGACTTTGAGGAGGAAGAACAAGTAGGAGAAATTCCAACGTGAGTCTCCATGGGGATCTTCAGCACTGGGTTCTCCCCTCAGACACCGCAATTGACCTCTCTTCTTTGTGTTTATTCCCTCAACTGAGCCTTCTCTTTTCATTGTTTCCTGCCCCTCGATTTTGAAAGGGTTGACCCAGACCCAGAAAAATTTAAGAAGTTTTAACTTGTGCCAACTTCCCTTGTATTAAACTTCCCTAAGGACATATGACATTTCTTAATGCACTCAGCATCCCTTTCCAGATAGAAGAAATGTTCACATACTTGCTCGGGGTACTTTTGCTGAGGTTTGTATTCAACTGAGTTTGCAGAAAACAAATTCCAAGTCTTAAATGCCCTGACCTTCCCTTAGTGCCAAGTTGAAACTATCAATAAAGAAAGAGGATTTCGCTACAGCGAATCCTATAGACACCCTCCCAGCAAAGCCACATTTTACCCTCCAGAATGTCACAGCATAGGTGTTTGGTTGTGCACAACCCCACTCTCTGGAGAGAGTGGAATCGTGGTTCCTCAGATGATTTAGAAATCAGCTTATGAGACTCACAAATTTCTCTTGTCCCTTGGGAAAATCTCTGTTGGCTCCAAATGAGCATTGCCTCTATATTACCAACACTTAAAAGATTCCTCAAACATTGAAAGTAAATTGTGAAATTTTCAAGTGTGTTTCAGTGTACAATGAGATAAGAAATTCAGTGTAACCCACATTCAGTTGGAATGAACAGTGACTGCATTGCAATAAAACTTGGTATAGTGCTTTGTAATAGAGACTCAACTGCATTTCAGAAAAAGCACTTTATTTTCTCAATAATCCCTTTTCCTTTGCTGTTTGTATGTAAAAGTAGGTGATAAAGTAGATTAATGGACTTTCTGCACAGCATTTTAGTTGAGATGACTAGTGTAGACAAACCTACAGAGGAGCTCTCATTATGCCCACAACCACTTTTCTAAGAAGACTCACATGGTCCCACTCCTAAATTCCACACTCTGCTTGCAGCTCACATTATATTGCAGTTTCCTCGTTGAGTTCTTAGATTTGTCATATTAAATTGCTCTACTATCATTTGAAGTAAGAGTTATGGCCAAGACGTGATCAGCTGACTCAAAAAAAAAAATGTCTAGGGCAGACAGTCAGTTCTAGAGATTCATGTGCATATAGAGCTACTAGAATATAAGCTGGCTGTTCTGTCTTTATTGCGTATTACTTTCTTGTCTGTGTCAGAGCACAAAGAATTACTGTGGAGACTAAAAACATTGTCAGTTTCTAATCCCAATCTTCTTATACACAAACACATAAAGAGTTACCTCATTTTTCTATTTCATGCTCCTGGTCTACCTTTCTTACCTCTCTTGTTTCTAAATTTTTACATTTCAAAGACATGAATAAACATATGTAGCTGTGTGGTAGTGTGTATTGGAATGCTTCATGAATTGTGGATGTTCAAAGCTAAAATATCCAGCAAAGAAGTAAAATATTTAGTCAATTAAATTCAACAAGCATTTATGGAGCACAATGAGAGTGTTAGATTTTAGATGGCTAAAGTGAGAATACAAAAGCGATGTAGGCCAATTATCTACAGTAAAAGCAGCATTCCTACATAAAGGAGCATGGACAATTCTGCAGGAGACTGGATAAAGCTTTGCTTAATTTTTGTTGTTTTTGTTTTGAGATGAGGTCTCGCTCTGTTGCCTAAGCTGGAGTGCAGTTGCAGTGGTGTGACCTTGGCTCACTGCAGCGTCAATCTCCCAGGCTCAAGTGGTCCTCCCACCTCAGCCTCCCGAGTAGCTGGGACTACAGGCACACATGCACCACCACACCTGGCTAAATTTTGTATTTTTTGTGGAGACACAGTTGTGCCATGTTGCCCAAGCTATTCTGGAACTCCTGGGCTCAAGAGACCTGCCCACTTCAGCCTCCCAAAGTGCTGAGATTACAGGCGTGAGCCACCGCGCTTAGTCATCTTTTGTTAATTTTGACTAGAAATACTGAGGAAGACTTCATTGAAAGAGGTGTCATTGAAAAATGGCTTTGAAGTGGGACAGAGGTCTTGACAGAAAGAAGGGATTACCCTTCTGTATATTTGCTTTTGTTGATATCAGACATCCAAAATCTTGAAACTAACTCGCCTATATTTTTTTCATTTAAATCCTTTTACATTGTGTACAGACAACCATAGTACCCAAGAATGTTATAAGATGATACACAATGAATGTGCATGTGCACACACACAAATGTTTAAATGGTGTTTTTACTATTTAAAGGAGATAAGATTAATGGCTGTCATTCCTTACTCCCATTATGAATTTGGATCAGTTTTCTTTGTGCTGCTGTATTTCTTGATTTTTAACATTCTGATGTAAATGCTACTGTGATACTCCTGGTAATTCACAAACTCCTACTGTGCTATTTTCATTAGTTAATATTCTGTGTAAGATTTGTGGGGGTAAACAGATAAGATAGTAACTGAGTTGTATTAGTGCCAACGTTCTTAAGTATTTAATTGACTTCTGAAAAGAGTCAAGATAAGCTCACTGTTTCAAATGGTGTTGGTTGTAAAATGCAACAAAAACAAAAACGTAGGTCTTATTACCAAAACTTGGCTGTTAAAATGTGTGAGTCCTACTAAACCTACTTTATTGGGCTAAATACTCTAGTCACATACATAGGTGATCCAGGTAAATAAACAGAAGGACAAAAACAAACAAACAAAAAAACCTCTCTTTGCCCTGATTACCTAATGGCCTAATCTGCAGTTTGCTGGGATGGTTGATTGATGTTTGTGTGCCAGTGGTGAAGGAGCTCTTCAAAGTGATCCAAGGTTAAGGCAGGTTTGGTCCCCACGGCAGCTCAAGATCAATAGAGTTCCTCTCCTTTACAGCCAGCCATTGTAGTCATATTAAGGAACAAATCAAAGCAACTCTGCTGCAATTTCATCAGATACTCAGCAATCTACCTGGAAATAGTATATGCTGTCATCTGTATAGACCTATTTAAAGAATGATTGCAAACTAGAAGGACTTTTACTGAGAAGCCCTGTTTGAAGAAAGTTACACAGGTGCTATGAGAAATCTGTGGCCGGACTTCAAAACGGTGAAGTGTTTGTAGCATGATAAGTAGTCAGAAAAACAGTTATTAAAATTTTAATATCATTGTTTACTTTAAAATACATGTTCTTTCCATAAGCACTTAAGATGTTACCATTGCTGGGTAGAGCATTTCTAACTTCTTAATCATGTTTTTTTTAAAAAGTCACAAATGATTTTTCATGCTATTTATAGTTTTTATATATTTTAGACAATTCAGAAATATTGATTAATATGACAAGACTTTATCTACTGGCATTTTTATACTATAGGTGGAAGTTAAATGGAACAGATGTTGACATCGGTATGGATTTCCGCTACAGTGTTGTTGAAGGCAGCTTGTTGATCAATAACCCCAATAAAACCCAAGATGCTGGAACGTACCAGTGCACAGCAACAAACTCGTTTGGAACAATTGTTAGCAGAGAAGCAAAGCTTCAGTTTGCTTGTAAGTAGCAATTTTATAATGCTGCAAATGTTACTTTGAGTTTGTTTACCATTATACCAATATGCTTTTATAGCAGTTTCATTTTAGAGACTAGATTTTAATTTGTTACATGATCATCTTTACTCTTTTTCACATTTTGGAAATAATTTTGTTTGTAGGATAAACTGTAAATCTAAGTGAGAAGATATATTCTTCTACTTTGATAAGGATTGAGATAGTTTGATTGTATGATAATTTGATTATATGATGCTTTCTTTATACACAAATTCACACACTGAGATTGACACATGTATAAATTTATGTAAACAACAAATTTTACACACAAAAACATTTTAAATAGAATGTGTATAAGCAAGAAATTGAACTGCCAGTAATTTAGTAGACAATTAGAGAAGTACTTTAACCATAAAGGTCAGAGCTGGAAAAAAACTGAGTAGTCAATTAATCCTATAATTCTTGAATTGTTTCTTATTTCATAGGCTAGAAAAAATTTAAAGTGATTGCAATAATGACAAAAAAATGGAGACAAAGTGTTATCCACCTTTGATATTTCCAGTTTAGAATGTTTAAAAAAACAAATAACCATCTCTTAAGACCACCATTTAACAAAAGTCCATGAATGTGTGAAAGAAGGTGGAATTTAGAAATCACAATTTGAAAATAAAATCCATAGGCAAGAGCAGTTAGCATACATTTTAGCATAGCCACCTTCAAGGATTGATGTTCAGCTACACTTTTAAGGGTTTATGTATTTGCATGTGATTATGTATTTCCTTGTGTGAAATTCCAACTCATATAGCAGTGCATGTTGGCGTTAGCCAAAGGTTTCATAAAGTCTGCTGGCAGTAACACTGTAGAATATTCTCATTAACAAAGTCCTCTCCAGGAACTCAACATCAAATGTACCTGATATCCAGTTCTTAATCTATTAATGCCATTTGGTGGCATTTTTATAAGTTGAGAAATGAATTTTCTAAGTATTATGTATATGCAAGGTTCCAGGATTATTTGGTTAGTGAATGTCTCTTGAGATAGTCTTCTAAATATTCTTAGGTGTTCAGAATAATAGGAGAATAATATATGTGATTGAATGTAACAGAACCAAAGTATTTATTTCTCTTGGTTTAATACAAGTCTTATATCTATATTTATTTTTCAGTAATGACAAATCTTGCTGAATTAATTTTTGGAAATAACCATAGAATCATGTACTCTCAGAGTAGGGGAATATCTCAGTATTTAATAAATCTTGTAATTCTTTGAATTTTGGATGTCATAGTGTAGGAAATTTTTAACACAGTAACACCAAAAAAAAAAAAAAAAAATGGAGATAGAGATACTATACCCTGGCCGGGCGCAGTGGCTCATGACTGTAATCCCAGCACTTTGGGAGACCTAGGCGGGCAGATCACGAGGTCAGGAGATTGAGATTATCTTGGCTAACATGGTGAAACCCTGTCTCTACTAAAAATACAAAAAGTTAGCTGGGTGTGGTGGTGGGCACCTGTAGTCCCAGCTACTGGGGAGGCTGAGGCAGGAGAATGGCATGAACCTGGGAGGTGGAGCTTGCAGTGAGCCGAGATTGCACCACTGCACTCCAGCCTGGGCGACAGAGCAAGACTCCGTCTCAAAAAAACAGAAATACTATACCCAAACTTTTTTATTACTAGCTTACATTTAAAAAAACAAATTACCAGCTTTTAAGATTATCCTTTTGTGAAAGACCAGGCATTTTACTACCAAAACATCAGAAAGATGGAATCTCATATTCAAGGACAGTCATTTAAATAGAATAGTTTAACCAAAAAAAAAAAAAAAAAAAAAGATCTACCACTCAGTTTGCGGTGGGTTGACTTGAGGACCTACCAGGAAATGGAATCCAGTTTGCTCATTCCACTTCATGTGTGATGTTGGCATTCCTCCCACCCTCAAAATCCTGCGCTGATCATCATTTGGTTTGAAAAATTCTAGTGACAGAAAGTTCACCAATTCATCACAAGGCACCTTGGGCCACAGTAGACTGCTCTATTGTTCAAAAATACAAAAACAAACTTGACATCTCTTTCTTAAAATTGAGCCAAATATCTAAATTTCTATCACATTCACTCCTAGTTCTTACTATGAGATACTAGTTACTCTTCAAATATGTGAAGATATGATCATGTCTCTTGTCCCATAAATTCTTTTCTTCCCCATTTACTTAATCCACAGCCATATTCTTCACAATACACTCAACTGTGTTAATTCATCTATTGTAGTCTTATGGAAATGCACAGAATTCCATATATGTGCCTTAACATTTTCTGAGGACACTGGGAACAATAGTATCTCATGATGTGAACTTTTTTTCAGTTAATGAAGCTGACAATAATATTTATTTAATCTTCATTTTTAAGTACCATTGTAACTTTATTTTAAGCATATAATCATGTAAAATCTGAGAAAGGCTTTCTTATAAATTTCTATTCATCCAGAGCTACCCAACCATGTTGTTTTATTAACCTAAATTCGGAGTATTATATTTACCCCTAATAAATTCATGTTCTGAGTAGTGACCCTTTGTTCCATCATATTTGAAATTGTTTTAAGTTTTTTTTTTCAATCTGACATACTGATTGTTCTCCTAGTTTAGTGTCAGCAGAAAATTTGATAAGTGTGTCTCCATTCAAATAATTGATACAACATGTTGACCAAGACAGGGCAGCATGTCACTAGAGAATTTCCACTAAAATGAAATTAAACCTTTAATTTAATATTATTTGGACACTCTTGTTCAACCAGCTACAAATTTAGCCAAATATACTATAATTGAACTCCAGTTTCACGAAACCACATGGTTTTAAAGTAGTGACAATCTTTGCTAAAGCCTTGCTAAAATCAAGTCGTATTGTTTCTACAACATCCAGTCCTGCCTGCTCTCTCTGCATCTTCTTGAGCTTTTCCTTAACCATTTATCGTAAAACTGCCAGAGTAATCTTTTAAAAAATGTAAATTAGATCATCCCGCTTTCCTGCTTTATGCCTTCTAATGTACTTAGAATAAATCTCAAACTCATTACCATGGTCTCATTTTAATTTCTCAAAAATGACAAATTATTTTTTGCAACAGGGTCATGATACTTTTGTTCCCTCTGCCTGATAAGCTTTTCTCATGATCTTTCACGCAGCAGACGTCTCATGATCCTCACTTCTCAATTTAGGTATGACCTCCTAAGGGAAAGTTTCCATGTCACCCTAACATAACAAGCAATTTCCATCATTTCTCGTCCTCTCTGCCGACCTTCTTCCAGCCCTCTGCTTTTACATAACAGTATCTTTTACTTACCAGAATTTTTTTTTTTTTTTTAAAGACTGAGTCTTGCTCCGTTGTCCTAGCTGGAGTGCAGTGGTGCGACCTCAGCTCACTGCAAGCTCCACCTCCGGGGTTCAAGCTATTCTGCATCAGCCTCCAAAGTAGCTGGGATTACAGACCCACACCACCACGCCCAGATAAGTTTTTTGTATTTTTAGTAGAGACGGAGTTTCACCATATTGTCCAGGCTGGTTTCGAACTCCTGCCCTCAAGTGATCCACCTGCCTCAACCTCCCAACATCATGAGATTACACCACGCCCGGCTCAATTTACCAGCATTCAATACAATCTAGAATGATTGTATATTTACTTTTTTTTCATTTATTATTTCACTCCTATGGCAGAACATGTATTTTAAGAGAACTGAGACTATCTTGTCCATCCTTGTATTTCCTAGCCATTTATATGTTTGAATAAAGGAATTGCTGTGTTACATGCCCATTCAGTAACACAACAAAGAAAATATATGTATAAAGTTAATTTGAGGATGAGGTATTTTTATATACCCAAACCCACCCTTTCTATTCTAGTAATTTTCTGGAGTTTATCTTCTTGATCATCGATCCATAGTTTCTAGATGTTTTTCCCTATCTTTTTAAAATTAAAAGAAAATCAAAAGACGTTGCCTGTATTCAGCATTCACTTTCAATTGGTTAAGATAAAATCCTTTTCTTCAGTGAATTAATAAAAGTGAGGCAGGACAGTGACATCTTTTGAATGTTACTAGTTTCTGTGACTCCACGTATTGTCATAGTCATTGAAGGAAAAAAAAAAATGTTGCTTTTTGGCCACACTTACTGCACTATACCATGCAAGTGAGAATATTTCTTCCTCTTTAATCATACGATTGTATGGTTGAAAAAGACATTAAAGGTCTCCTGGCCTGTATCTTTTTAAAAATGAAATTGAAGATTAGAGTAACTGAATTAGTCATTGTTAATACACAGTTAATAAGTTACAGAGCCACGGAAAGGCAGTCTTCAGCTCCCAGTTTCATGCATGCTGGTCCTGCTTTGCTTTAGATTCACTCTAATTTATAAGAAAAACAACCCTTCACTTTTATTTACCGTGTTACAATTTTCAAATCTCATTTATATACTTTCTATAATTTTATTCAGAAGATAGTCTTATAAGGTAGACAGTATTTCTATTGATTATTAAAAAAGTTTTCATGCTGCTTTTGTGCACAGGATTTAGTCATGTCTTGTAGTAGCATTTAGCATTTTTAAGTTGAATTAATTCACATAAGCAAAATTTATAGCTAACTAGAGATGAGACCGCTAAGAACTTGCTCTTCCTCTCACTTTTTTAAGTCAATATATTTAGAATAGAAATCCTTCCTTGATTAAATAAGGATAGCATAATTTAAGTCCCCCTTGATGAGATATGGATAAGCATACATTATTGTAATGTAATTGGGAGCACATTTGGTTTTTCAGTCTCTCTGCAGTATTAAGCCATCAGCAATCACTTCCCTCACTGTCACTTAGCTTACTACCATACCCTTTCTACCTTTTAGTCCTTCTGTTTCACCTAGGGCTACAAATATGATTGACTAGATCCTCTGTGCCTGGCACTTAATAAACTTGAAATATGAATAAGAATTAGACATTAAAGTCATCATGCCATATGTGGGGCATAAGGAATGA